ATAAACGCGTGCGGCATGTTGCCATATTGTTCTAAAATAGTTTATTATTCTAAGGGCGTTTATATACGTTTACATTATTCTGTCGTTATATGATTAATGGGTAGAATATGAGTACTGAGTAGATATTAATAGCAAAATTAAATAATCTACTGATCTTTACTTATATGAAATGAAACCAAACTTAATTTGATTAGACTTGTACGAGCGCTTTTACTTCATATTCATACTGATCTGAAAATAATTGTGTTTCATCTCGTGAGGTTGTTTTTAATGGTAATTTTTTTTTATCTAGTGTTAAATACTGGGAAGACGTGAGTTTTATGAGATTATCTTATGTAAAGAAAAAGCTTTAAATCTATACTAATATTATAAAGTGGCAGAGTTTGTTTGTTTGAACGCTCTAATCTCAGATAGGTACTATTGATCCGATTTGAAATTATTTTTGCATTAGATAGCCCGTTTCTTGAGGAAGACTATAATAGGCTATACATCATCATGCTACTACCCAAGGAAGCGGAGCAGTAATCATAAATGTCAATAAGTAGGGATGGCTTCCACACATTATTCTAAAACTATATAGGTATATTATATATAGGTAATAGGTATATACATAGGAACGAACCCAAGCGAAGTGAGCTAGTTTAAAGGTAAAAAGAAAACAATTAAGAGAGACTGATGGAAATATATCTAAGGGTACTTTGGTTCTAAAGTAATTTTGTGCTGTACTTAGAAAATTATATTTAGAATATGTATATTGTATAATAGACTCTCTTAGAGATTAAATCGAATTTCTTAAAGCTAACATCACTCACTGTGTATCACAAAGCATTTTAATTAAAGATTTCTGAGAAAAATAGATGGGCTGTGAGCTTTTAACGTTTTTAACAGATTAAATCTTTTTCTAGGCCTATTTAAAAAGTTCATATTAATCTACACATATAATAAAATTGTAACTAAGCCGAATTTGTACATTATATATTTTTTGGAAAATCTGAGTCTATAGTTTTGGAATTTTTGTCTGTCTGTTACCGCATCACAGAAAAGCCACTGGAGAGATTTTGATGAAATTTAGTATGGTGATAGCTGGTTATCCGGGTCAACATATAGGAATACAAAAACTGCATTGTAAGAGTATACTATATAGGATTATTATATTATATATAGGATACTTTTTACTGCGGGAAAATATCTTATCTTTGAGAAATCTATTCTAAACCTTAAAACGTAAGTAGAGACGAACCCGAGCGGAGTGAGGGTGAGTCGCTAGTATATGTATATATGTATATTTTATCAGCGATTTACTCTCCCTTCACTCAGGTTCGTCCTTGAGTTTCTAACAGTACCTATATGTTATTCCAGACACACAAACACTATATTATTAATATTTAGAGAGATTATGCTCTGATTTTTTAAAATATTATACTAGAGATATTTTTTACTAGAGACTCACCCTCTCTTCGTTCGGCTTCGTCCCTGGGTTGATTCCTCATACAAAAATTCATATCCATTTTCACCCACTTTACGGATGATTTCAAATACGGATGACTTAAAATATCTTCTTACCAATTTTCATCTAAATCAATCTAGTAGTTTCGGAGCTTATTTGGTACAAACAAACAAACAAAAAATCTTACCTCGTTATAATATTAGTAAATATTTTTTAAAAGCAGCTGCGATGTCAGTGATAAATATATATTTTCAATTCTAATAAAACTTTTGAATTGGCCAAGGTCTTCTAGCCTCAATGGTGTAAAGAGCTTTATGTCTACAATAACTTCGAATAGATTTAGTGACGGTTTGAACGTAATGTCTGGTAATAGGTAAACATTAAAATTTACGGTCCACATTGTTAACTGTTGTTTTGGATTTTAACGCTTTGTTATGTGTTAAATGATTTTATTAGATTAAGTTGAGGTATAAAATATTTTATGAGCTTTCATCTATACATATAATAAAATTGTAATTAAGCCGTATCTGTACATTAAAAAATTTATGAAAATCTTATTGAAATAGACAATAATCTCTATACAGAGGCATAATATCGATACAGAGGCCGAATCTATAGTTTTTAGAATTTTTGCCTATCTGTCAGTCTGTCTGTTACCGCATCACTGAAAAACCACTGGAGGAATTTTGATGAAATTTAGTATGGTGATAGCTGGTTATCCGGGTCAACATATAGAATACTTTTTATCGCGGAAAAGTATCTCATTTCTGAGAAAAAATACAAAAACTGCATTGTAAGAGTATACTAAAATGTATAACCTAAGAATTTGCTTTTTGGTCATCTGAACGCGGGCGGAGCCGCGGGTAATGCTAGTTCTAAATATGTTGACAGAATATATTGTTAAACTTTTTATACTTGTTTCATACTTAACAGCTAGAGCTTCGTATAAAGCTCTTGACTGCTGATAATTAATTTAGTGCAACTAACAAAAACATAATAAGTACGATACTTTTTTTGGACGATGCAATATATATATAACAATATATAATATATTTATAACATCTTAGAATAGAAAAACATACTCTTAAAAATGGTTTATATATCTTATAATATCAAATGAGCAATTCTTGTATATACTTATATAAAATTCGTGTATCTCGAAAACGGCTGTAACGAATTGAATCAAACTTTGTATTTAGATAAGGTTTTGCTTTTTAAATTACTCAAAATAGGTATCCTTCCCGAAAAGACGATGAAGCTCGGTCACCCAGGTACTTATTATAAAGAGGTAATTTTTGTTTATATGTAGAGCATTATATCAGGAACTGCCAAACTACTTTTTATTTTATTTTCCTTTAATAGAAATCTACATTAGTGCTAAGTACAGGTTAAAATAACGAACCACTCGTGTAGAGTATGTATGTTTGTATGTATGTGAAAACAGGCTAATACCACATAATAGAAAACAAAATTCGTATTTTTATACGTCTACTAACGCCAATAAAACTAAATATAAATCGTGAAAAAACATCACTTCGTGGTAGAACGTGGGCGTTTTAATTCCTGTACGTTGTAACTGACGTAATGCACGAATATTTGGTTTGACCTATGTCGCTCACGGTTTTAACAATTTCCGCATAAAAATATCTACAGAAAACGTGAATTTGTATATTCTATCTTCGGAACTTATATTTTGCATGACCGATTCATGGTGAGTGAAATAAATATCTCACTTTGAATGTATTGTTATTAGTAGCTTTATTTTGTATGAATTTTTACTTTCTATAACCTCTAAATATATGTATTTACATATTATCTGCTTTACGCAAATGTGTGAAAAGAAATCTTTATATATGGTCAACCAATTTACTTTTTTTTGTTTAGTTTGCTATTGACGAGCTTTAATGTTATCAATAAAAACATTTGGATACCGTTAGTTTTCTTATAGATATAAATTATATCAGCTTATTAATTTCCTAAAATTCGATTCAATTCAGTTCTTTATTTGGCTATATTGTAACACCTACTTAACATTTTGGGCTCCTAAAACGGGTTTAAGTCTGACGACGTCAAACTGTCAGTCGTATTGTGACATGTAGATATTATTAATACTCTTCATTGTTCATTAAGTTAAAAGAGGCAGCGGAAGTGAATTACTAACATCATGTAACAATGAAGGCATTATCAAGAAAAAAATAAGTTTTTTGAAAAAATAAAATTAAAAGTTTCTAGATTGAGTGGCGGATTTTTTTATTAAAATCTATTTCTAGGTATAACCTTATCTAATGAATACATCAAGAAAATCAAAATATTTTTAAAAAACTTATGTATTTAGCTCTTTTTTTAATGTCCCACTGCTTGGCACGCGCCTCCCTTCAATACGAGGGGATCAGAACGTAGTCCACTACTCTGGCTTAAAGCGGCTTGGCGGACTTCACATGTGTTTCTTGCTTCAAGGTCCTTTCAGACATGGAGGTATCCTCAGGATGCTTTCCTTCACCGTAAGGCAAGTGGTAATCATGTTAAAAATGATTCTCACGTGAAAATATCAGAGGTGCTCGAACTGGGATTTGAACCCGTTTCACTCAGTTTCCGAAGCGCGTTACCACTGGGCTACCTCCTTTCTTTAAAAAGGTATACGTAATAGAAATATATAATAGGAGTCGACTTAAGAAACTACCTTATTCATTGAATCAAAATAGTTAAAGCCAACATATAATTTTATTATTTTTAATTTGCTTTCAGTGATATTTGTATAATAAGTAGGTAAGCGATATTTCATATTTAAAATTAACAATTAAAAAAATAATACAAATTTTGATTAAACTTCTACAATATCATCATAAAATAAATAAAATAACAAATATCTTGTTACTTAAACACAACCTTAAGATCTACTAAATCTTGTATAGGTGACAGCTTCTCTAATCAACTTTGCGCTCGAGACGTATGTGACGACGGTTTTAGCGACGATTAAACTGCCACATACACCCCTGTCTCCACATTCAAGGCGCTAATTCGTGAAAGTATTGTTTTGTTTCTTGGAAGATTTACAGAGAATGAAACGATATATACGAGCTTTGACTTACTATACTTATATACTATACTATGTATTTAAATGTACATATGTAAATATAAATAAAAAGAATATAAATGCGTTTGTACTAGCTAGTTTTATAATATTTATTTAATATTGGTTAATGTGGAAACTTATTATTAAATATTTTTTAATTGTGTCGTTAAATGTTGTTTGAATCTGAATATTTCTCTGATGACGAAGTTAAAATTTGCATAGTAAAAAAAAATCGCAGGTACTTTTAGCTTACTAGCGATTCACCTTCGCTTCGCTCGAGGTCGCCCCTAGGTACGATAACAGCACAGATATATAGCCTTCCTCAACAAACGGAGTATCTAATGCAAAAATAATTTTTCAACTCGGATTAGCAGTTACTGAGATTAGCGCGTTCAAACAAAAAAACAAACAAACTCTGCCTTTTTATAATATTAGTATAGATTTCGCAGTATACTAAAAATTAACCATCTTAGCACTTACTTCCAAACAAGTATTGCGCCTATAATGACACCCACGAGAAGGACGATGGAGCAGACTGCAATGACCGCGGACGTCTGGAGTGACGGCCCACTGTGGTTGTACGCGTCAATCTTCTGAAAAAGAAATAATTTTTATATTAAAATCATCATCATATACAAACACCAGCGACTCGTCCTGGCTTTGCTCAGATTCGTCCCTAGGTCCCCATATAAACTTATCCCTCCCCATATAAACTTATCCCCTTAAGGAATCATTTCCAGGATAAAAACTATCTTACGTCCTTCCCAGGGCCTCAAACTATTTTATTACAAAATTTCATTCAAATCGGTTCAGTAGTTTCGGAGCTTATTCGGTATAAGCAAAGAAAAAACCTCTCTTCTTTATAATATTAGTATAGATTAAGTTTTTACTTAAACAAGTCAAAATTAGTAAGTAAGTATGTACTAGGCCAGTGATCGTAATTCGACCATAACATTTTTTTCATTGATAACACTAACGCTTGAGCTACTATATAAAGGAAAATCATTTCATAAACAGAAGAGCAAAAGATAATGAACTCTTATCTTTTCCTTTGTTTATTTATATAAAGACTAGCGACTCACCCTCGCTCTGCTCGGGTTCGTCCCTGTATACGTTTTAACGTATAGATTTCTCAGAGATATTTTCTCGCAGCTAAAAGTATCCTATATGTTAACCCGGATAACCAGCTACCATTATACCAAAGTTCATCAAAATCTCTTCAGTGGTTTTCTGATGATGCGTTCCCAGACAGATAGACGGACAGACAGACAGATAAAAATTCTGGAAACTATAGATTTGGCCTCTGTATTGATAATAATGACTATTTCAACAAGACTTTCAAAATCATTGAATTCTTACCTTTTAATGGAACGACTAAGTAGATTTAGGTTGTGTAAACAAGATTTCATACAAAAAAACTACACTTTAATCTGGTTAGTCATTTAGTTAATTTATAATTACAATAACCCAACGCAACAAAAGCAATGCTATTTTTCAAGAAAAGAAATTGGAAATATATCGTAAGTACATATAAAACTCATGATTCAATCACATACATTTCACAGCCTAAGCTTCTGAAGAAGAATGAAATTTTGCACGAGAGTTTCTTATATAACGAAAGTTGGAAGAGCTTTTCAAAACTCAAGTAAAATATAAAACGTTTTGTGTGAAGTCCATCATTTTACAAGTTATAGGGTATATATATATATATATATATATATATATATATATATATATATATATATAATATAATATATATATATATATGGCTACAAGTTATAAGGGTTCGTTCCTAGGTAAGCTTTCACGTTTAGTATAGATTTCTCAGTAATGAGATATTTTCCCGCAGCAAAAAGTATCATATTTATTAACTCGGATAAACAGCTATTACCATACCAAATTTGATCAAAATCTGTCCAGTGGTTTCTCGTGATGCGTTCCCAGGCAGACAGACAAACAAAAACTCTAAAAAGTATAGATTCGGCCTCTGTATCACTAATAGGTAATGACTATTTCAATAAGATTTTCCAAAAAATATTTAATATTTGACTGAGTTCTTATATCTATAGATTTGCTTTTAGGCAAACATTATTTTAATAATGTCGTATAATACTTGTATATTAAGGTAATTTTATTTAAACTAAAGAATAATTGTTTCATTTAATAGTATCTTGATACAACCTATTTACTACTGCAGATAGAATTTCTATGAATGCACAAAGGCCATTATCAGCTAACGGATTCTGTTCAATCGCATTGTATTGACTTCTCAAAATTATAACCATTTGTGTCTACATAGGTACTACATATCTTAATCCCAAGTTAGTATTACAAATATTATAGTTAGTTTAGCCCGCGGCTTTGTTCACGTGGTAAATGAGGCGTGGATCAAATATAGCTTTTGTCTATCATCCTTAGGATGCAATTTATGTTCTTTGTTAATTTTTATCGATATCTGTTCAGGCGCGAAAAGGTAGCAGACGGAGTTACTTTCACATTTATAATTTACTCGTCATATCGTCTGTACTGAGCTAGCTCGTTTTTCGTCTAAAGAATCGGCATTGCCATTCAGCGGGGGAACGCTGCTAGAATTCTTGCTACAATTCCACGCGGACATCACTTGTACAGTAATAATTAAGTGTACATTTGCTTTTAATTATAAACTAAGTAAAAATTAAATTTAACTTCCTTTTTTGTAAACAGTAATATTATTTGTTTGTTATTTATGTATGAACTTAACTATAACAATGAAACTTGGCATGACGATATTTTTTTAACTTATCCAGTTCTTTTAAATAAATCTTTTCGGATTTTTTCGCGAATTTATTTAGTTTTTTGATTCCCAACGTTTTTAATACTTTACAGCAATCATCGTTCTAAAATATAGTTTTATTTAAAATGGCAAATATTCGCGTAAATCTGAGAAAGTGCTATCCAGATTTGTTAAAATCCTAATGAGACATTAATACATTTTGAGATTGATGTAAAGGAAGCGATTTGAAATCATTACAAAGGAATAAAGTAAATGTATTTCGTATATTTTCCCTTGTTATAAATATTCAAAGTATGACAAACTGGAAACATTAAGAAAATTGAAATATGTCACGTTTTAGCACGCAATAGCTGTCTTTTGTTGGAAATTTTGTCGTCATCACTTTATTTGAGTGTAATTTAAACTTGATTTAATGAAATATTATGAAATAATACTATCTATATGTATGTATGTACCTATGTATTCAACCCTTTTTACCCGACCGCGTGACTCAAAGGAGGGTAATGTGTTTATCAGTCTACGTATGTATGTATGTATGTATGTTTGTTCCTATATAGCGTTCTAGAGAATAAACGCTTGGGCCACGTTCGTTACAATGTTGGACACGGGCTCATTAATACGAATAGATCAAGCCATAGCTACCACGTTACCCTATCACGCCATTCAAGTGCGGGATGGCGGACTTCACACGTCTTTAGAAATCTTGTTAGGTTCTCTCAGACATGCAGGTTTCCTCACAATGTTTTCCTTCACTGTAAGTAAGATGAGTGGTAATTACGTTGTAAATATTATTTCCAAAATTATTTATTAGAGTGTCTAAACGTAAAAAGATTATAATATATATAATCTCTTTACGTTTAGTCGCTATTTTTGTATCTATATAGAAACGATTTTCTTGAACATTATGCAATTAATATAAAACAGAAGGGAAAAAATTAAGCAAATCTAATTTATGGCTTTTCGACCCTTAACAATTTCAATATAAAAAGGTTCACAATGAATCAGCTATATGTTTTATACGTTGTGCAAAAATGGCTGAAGACGTATATAGAGAGAAATAACTTCTACGTTCAACTAACTCTTTAATTAAACTGTACCGAAATATTATACGGAAGCTCAAAATATTTCAAACTTAATAAAAAAGTTTTTTTTTTATTTATATATATTTAATAATATGTTTTTCACATATAACAGTAGTAGTATATATGCGAAAAAAAGTATGTGTGTGTGTGTGTGCGTGTGCGTGTGCGAGTGCGAGTGCGAGTGTGTGTGCGTCTGTGTGTGCGTGCGTGTGTGTGTGTGTATGTGTGTGTGTGTGTGTGTATGTGTGTGTGTGTGTGTGAGTGTGTGTGAGTGTGTGTGTGTGTGAGTGTGTGTGAGTGTGTTGTGTGTCTGTCTGGGTGTGTGTCTCTGTGTGTGTGTGTCTGAGTGTATCTGTGTGTGTGTCTGTGTGTGTGTGTCTCTCTGTGTGTGTGTGTGTGTGTGTACGTGTACGTGTGCGTGGTCGTGTGCGTGTGCGGATACGCGCGTGTGTGTGTGTGTGTGTGTGTGCGCGTGCGCGCGCGTGTGTGTGTGTTTGTGCATGTGTGTGTGTGTGTTTGTTTCTCTTTCACGGCGTAACATATTTGGATGAAATATAGTACACAGATAAATACATTTATTTAATAAATTTTTATTCAATTAATTAAATTTATAAATTTTCAAAAAAATGATCTATTTGTATAAAATAACCTTAGCGTATCTTTTTGTTCTACTTTTTTCTTGTATGTTTCTTATTTTTTTTTTAATTTAGTAGCCATTAAAGAGCTGTAGTGTTATCATAAAAAGGCTTTTTTTTAAATTCACGTGTGTTTTCTTAAAATTTTCAATAGTGATTATGGTTAAATTTCGATCTATCTAGGAAATCCGAGTAAAGCAAGAGCAAATCACTTGTATTTAAAACATTCAACAAAACGAAAATTAATCAAAGCAAAGTATCAATGTGCAGAATAATTCAATACTAGATACTTGGACTAGCTCCAAATATCGACAGAACAACAATTGTATGCACCATTTGTCATAAATCTCAAAGCAATATAGGCATTCATGCGTTTGTTGAAAGGCTATTATGCCGTACATAGATCGTATTTGAAGCGACATAATGAGTTTTGGACACCGTACGGCTAATTTGTCTTGCAAGAAGACGGTCGCCAAATGTAGCTCGTTTGCAATTTTGAAGTCATAGTTCAGTTCTGCCAAAATAATATTCAATTTGAATGTTATATTATACTATTTAATGGTTTCTAGCTTAATTTATGGTTGATGTAACCTAATTATACAAGAAAATTGGTTTTCTACATCTAGTATCTAGGTTAGCTTAGAATAATCTATTAGAATAATTTCTCTTTTAATAAGAATAAATAATTTTATAAATAAGAATAAATAATTTTTCTATTTTAATAAGAATAATGAGAGTGTATAAAAATAATTATTTAAATAACCTAATAAATAATTGGTTTTTAAATACAACCTATTTTATTTTTTAAATAATAATAATAATATATTAATGTAGGAATCGAATCCATAACCATCAATATTATCGTCACGGATTTATTTAGATTTTTGATTCCTACAAATCCGCGAATTCTGGTTTTGAAAATAAATCCGAATCTAAGAAAGCATCATTATCATTATTTTTTACATTTTCTTTTCACAAAAAACATAATATTCCCATACATCATATGTGATGAACAGACAGTTATATGTAATATCCAAAAAATTTTTACACTCTTTCATCACAGTTGATGTATTTCATCACAATTATTATACCACAATTTATAT